ACACACATATATATATTAAGGATACCTATAAATAATGTCCTCTTTTAATACTTATCCAAATTTTATTTTACTTAATGTTTAGTGTAGATTAATCTACAAAATAATATGTACATCATCACTGATAATCTTTTTCCGTTTTTCTAACAAATTTTAATCTTTCTGACAATTTTCATTCTCTTTTTGTAAAATGAAAATGATTTCATAGCATATTTCAGATTTTGATCCAATCGGAAAGATCGAAATTGTTTAAATTTTTTAAACTAACGCTGGCATGTTCTGATATTCAAAACACTAGAATACACAGAATTAATGATATTTGTAGCATTAGTAGTATTGTTGCTTTTTCGAAACTCATAAAGCATTAAATGTCTAGCATGCACGTTATCCACACTTTAGCTTATCATTCTTAACGATACATTCAAGTTCTTTCAAAATTTTACGATAAATACACTGAATATCAGTAAATTTAATTATTGTACATGTTATATAATAATAAGACACGACCACGAACAAGATGGTAACGTTTACTCTGAAAAAATGATGTAAGAAATAATTTATTGGTACTCCTTATACAAAAAATATATATAAAATATACAAATATAAAATTATTTATTAGAATTATTTATTAAAATATGATAATATAAAAGAATTAAATATTATAGTGCGATGATTTGCTATTTCAGATAATTTTATATCATTATGTATAGAAAAAATAAGTATATGTATAATATGAAATAGTGTGGGTGTAAAATATTTAATTTTAATATCTTTTATTTAAAAGAATATTTTTATTTATTTACTTATTTTCTTTTTTTTAATGTAGCATATTTTTTCGCAATGTGCATATGACGTTTCTTTTTGTCCGTTTGAGAAAGACTAACTTTTCCAATATTTACCTTATTAATATTAGCTAAATGATACGATGGCCATTTATCCTGTCGTTTAATTTGTTTGTCGATGCGCGTGGGACGACAGCCATACGCATAAATTGACGCAAACCTGGGCTCCAGGAAGCTGGATTCCGTGCGTATACGCATTTGGCCACGTCCACGAGCGATCGGAGAGGTAAGAAAATCTATGCCTGCGCGTCGCAGTCGCAATGTCATTCTGCAAGACTCGGCAGAAATCGAAGCATGATGAATATCTCGTGGCATTAGAGACACCATTCCGGACACCAACAGGTCGTTGAATACAACGCGTGTACTCAAAGAATTGCGATCGGGATCGTATAAGCATTGTTCCACTCGCGCCCAGTGACCTCCGGGTTCCTTTGTGTTTTCCAGAAGCTACAAAATTCATGATTCAATCCAAATAGAAGAAGAAATCATATAAAAGTCAAGATGACGTCAAGATGATGACAAAAAGTCATTTTTCGATTAAATTTTTCCCGAAATCAAAGAATTTTTGAAAATCTTAAATAAATAAATAAAAAATTTTAAAAGATTTTTCTATAATATTTTAAAAGTCCATTTTTTTCTATTTTGTCCAAGTACATACGTATCTATTATTATTTGTAACACAAGTCTTGCACAATCTTAATATTTAGAAAGAATATTACTTTTACTGCCATACGAGAGACAAACATTTCCAGAGGAGCAGAACGTAGTTCGCGTTGATACATCGTTCCGACATCTTCTTCATCTAATTTGTTTTTTTTAATAGAATCTCTGTGAAGTGCATCCAAAGCACGTTCCAGTCGTCCACTACATGCATCCCAATCGCTAGTAGCAGCAAACGCAAAATTGATCGACACGAGTTTAAATAACCAAATTGTCGACTGTCTGAACTGCATCACCTGCGATAAACATTACGATTTTATTCATTATGCGAAAAGTAAAAAAAAACAATTATTGATCTACAACTAGCAATAAATTAAGGGCAAATTTTTAATTTTTACAGAATCAATTATTTTTTATAATAATAAAAAATAATATAGAAAAAAAATGTAATGCCTCTGAATTGTAGCAATATTTAATTAACAAATAATCAAATGTTTATATTGTGAGACGTATAACAACGATTACAGGCTTCATATGCATATATCGCCATTAAAATATCTTGCAAGGCATATCCTGTAGAAACTCGGTGAACTCGAGACACCGAAACAGAGCATGAAAGCGTCTCCATCCCGCTTGTCGCCAACAACAATCGGATTGTGTGAAACTAGGAAGTATGATCTTTTGGGCAGTTCATTATTGTTAATTATAGCACGCAACAAAGTGATACGAATCTATAGATCTGCTAACCTGATTTCTGACATATTCAATTCTTATTTGGCAAAAGAAATATTGAAAGAATCAATAAGTGGGGTTAATTTAAGATAAATTTTTAATTTAACAAAATCTCTCTCGATTTCTATTTCAATAAATAAAACTTTACGTATACATATTAAACTATACTAGGTTAACAATTTACTGTAGAAAATCTAATCAAAGTAAAAAAAAGTATTTAATTTTTTAATTGGCTGGCGACTTATACAGTCATAATATGATGCGTGTATTCACGCATTACATTGCTGGTATTGTTTACAAGTACGAAGTACAGACGAATCAAGTTGCGAGATTTTACGATGGTGCTATGGCGAAATTACATTGTTCGCTCTTGTATGCAAATGCAAAATCAAACTTCATTTATCTCACCATCATCTCGCGCTCTGTTAATCATTTCGGCCGCGTTCAGATATTTGCACAGCGATTTGACAATTCATTTCCTTAACTTCTTATTACATTATTATCCAAAATATTAATAAGAAGGCTAACGCATGTACATAGAATTTAATGTGAATTGAATATAGTATCACATGATATTTCGCATATAACTCATGAAAACTTTCATTTCATTTTATTCAAAATATAAATAATCCTGCAAAAAATATGTTTTTATTAATCATAAACACACGCATGTGTTTGATGTTGGTTCGATGATTTTATTATATTTTTTTCATGCAAGTGCAAAGTTAATATTTAAATTATATATATATATATATATATATTAATTTTTTTTTTTAAATCTCATAAGTAAAATCAAAAGTTCAAAATAAATCCAATAGAAGACAAATCTTGCGAGCAATATTTTTAATGCATTTATTCATAAAATTTCAGAGAATTTTAATTTAAAATAAATAGAAATTTTAACAAACTATGATAAAAATCTTTTAATACTTTTAATACTTTTTTCGAAAACCCAATAAATTAAGTTTAAAAAATTGGAAGTGTTTTGTTTCGTCGAAAGATATCTCTTTTCCTTGAACATTTTTGTCGCTCTGATTATCATAGAGCATATGCTTTCACTGTAAATAAATGTAAATAAATTTCGTTATATTTGTTATACTTGTAACTTTGAAAATAATCGTATACTTACTTCGTGAAATATACGGATTGTTCTCGTCTTCCGACGATATCAGCTGGTGTTTGTAATAATGCACACAGAATCGCTCGCACCTTTTCGCGCCGAGACATCGAAGAATAATGAAAGTGCTACTACGCACCTTTCGAAACGTACCGTAGAGATTCACGCTAGAATCATCCTTTCCTCTTGGCAAACGTTGCGCACAATTGCTATACAATAAGAGAGAGACATGAAGTAAAAGGTAATGAGGTAAAATGTGTGGTCCAAATGTAGGACGGGCCATTATATTTTTATACATTCTAATTAATAGATAAAATATTTTTAAAACCATATTACAGTTTAAATTATCTGTAATTTATAACAATATTTCATTTACATAATTCTAAGTACTTTATAATACGATAAATATAAATATATATAAAAAATTAGATAGCACACATATGTAAAAAAATATATTATTATTAATATATTATACAAAGTGATCACAAAATAAATTTTTTTTTTGAAGGACAAAATATTATTTTGCTTTTAATTATAATGTTTCTCACATTTATTATTAATGTCAAAAATTATTATAAAAAATTTATTTTTATTATATTATTTTTTATTATATTATTTTTTTTTAACTTATTGACCAAAGCTCGCTAATAAATAATATATTACGATAATAATATATAATAATCATATATAACAATTAGATAAAGTATAAAAATAATATTAATAAAAACAATCATTATACAATTACAAATAATATGTGTTATACGTAAAATTGAGTTTTATTAGGGTAACATACGTATTAAAATAAAATAATATTTATTTTATTTAAATTGCCGCTGAAAAATGAACGAATAAAAAGGCCAAGCTCTGATTGGCTATAACAAAATATGCGCAAGAACACGCTATGACTGGGTTCCGCCAAAACGTACATGCGCGCATTTTGTTACATTTAGTATACGTGACATGAACTATAGATAAATGCGCGCACATGCGCTTTAGTCCCCAGTCTATCGGTCAATAGGCGGATGACACCCGTTTGACCACTAGCCACTTACAGAGGCCGGCGCCTAGAATTTTTCCACTGTTCAAGCACTGTGAGTGGCTAATGATCAATCGGGACGTGGTTAAACGGATGTCATCCTCAATAGGTGATTTAAGCCTTAAACCATAACAAATTGACCAATCATAGTCGATTATTTTCCTATTCTTCGATTATGATTCGTCCATTTCTTATGGTTTAAGGCTTAAATCACTCATATTGTAGATCGAGACTTACAGAATTCAGCCCATGTCTACTTTCCCTTGCGTAGCCCTTGTTTCTTTACATCACGCTCCTCATTGTATGTACAGGAGCCATGCTATTTGATCGCTGTTAATCGTTATTTGATGACGAGTGATTGCGAGCGGCGGATGTCCGTGTTTGTATTAACATTTATTAATTGGAATGCAAATGTGACTTTTATTTAAGAA